GGTGGTCTCCCACAGTTTCCCAGCTTCTACTCAGACTTGCAGTGTTCATGCTCAGGCAGTCAGAGTCCTCTTTATAAACAATTCTGGTCACCCTACTCTCTTGCTATGTATCCTTGCTTATGGCAAAAGCTCAAGTCCTCACAGTGACACATGATTCACCGTGCCCCTCCAGCCGCGTTTTCCGCCATAGGCTGCCTGCTTCACTCTGGTCCCTTGTTATTTGATACTTGAATGTAGCAAACTCCTGTTCCTGCGCCTTGGTGTGCTACTTTCTGGAACGCTCTTTCCTGAGTGACAAGATCATCAACTTCCTCTCTGGGTTTTGTCCAAAGGTCACCCCAACCTTCCAGCTGGATGCTCTTTAATCACTCTGCTTACTCTTTCATTCCAGCCCCAATTGGATCTGGCACTCCTGGTGCACTTCCTGTTGTACTTTTGTTGTTGTTTGATGGTTTTGTTTTTTGAGTCAAGGTCTCCTGTAGCCCATGCTGGCCTCCAGATCACTGGGATGACCTTGAACTCTGGCCTCCACTTTCCAAGTGCTGGATTTGTGGGCAAGTGCTATCATGCCCCGCTTACAATTTCAGTAGCATATGTCCTGTGACTACATGTATTGCTTATTTGTTCACTGTCTCACCCCCTTTCTTATGCCCTGTTTAGGCTCATGACAGAACGTTGTGTCTGGTTCCTATCGCATTTGATTCTATAATCTTAGCCCTTAAACAGTGCCTGTCACATGCAATCGGACTTTCTTTAGACCACCAGCTCTGCGCAGTACCATATATCCAACCTCCTCCCTGTCTCACTGGAGAATCCTCCACCTCAGATTCCTTCCCAGAGTTCCTATCTCTGCCCAGAAGTTCCACCTAGCCTCTCCTGCCTAGCTATTGACTGTTAAGATGCGTTTTTTTTTCTTCAAGACAGGGTTTCTCTGTGTAACAGCCTTGGCTGTCCTGGAACTCGCTTTGTAGACCAAGCTGGCCTTAAACTCACAGAGATCCACCTGCCTCTGCCTAACGGTTGCTGGGATTAAAGGCGTGTGCCACCACCGCCCGGCTTCAGCTCTTCATTAAACTAATCAGAAGGTGACTGAGGCAGATGAGGCAAAACAGAGACACATTCACAATGTATAAAACGATTATCTCCCAACAGTCACATAAATATGACCAAGTAGACTTTGTTACCTGGAACCTGACTTTC